GCTCCCTCATTGTATGGAACTACTACTGATAATTTAGATTCCTTATTGTTGGTGTCGCCATTAATATTACTATTATCACTATTATCGTTATCATTATTATCGTTAAATTGCAGTGAAACCCACAAACTCAATTAGAAACAAGCTTTGTCGGTTAAAGAATCAATCTTGCGGAGCCTTTAAAACTAAAAAATTCAGTTTATCTAATACCCTGCTTGCGATGATTGTCAGGTCAAATACATAGGTCAAACTAGTAGAACATGGACAGTCACACTAGCCGAACATTTAAACCTAGCAAAATCTAGATTGGTTGACCAGAATAAGATAAGAAATCTGGAGAATAGTTCAGCTACAGCACTCACTACATGTAGTTACACACAACCATACAATTGGCTGGATGGAAACGGATGAGAGTTTTAAAATCTAAAGTCACAGGGTGGAGGAAGGGAGAGATTGATAACAGAAGCTTCGTTTATCGAATCAACTGCAAATACATGTAATAGGAATGATTCAACATCTGTCCACGCAGAAATCTGGAAAATTCTACTACCCCTACGACGACCAATAGGAGAGAACAAAGAAAACTATTAAACTCAAGTGTCAAAGTCGTGTGATTACGATCGATATGCTTATGAACAATAAATTTTGTTCGAAACGTCATCCAGTGGATAATACTGTTTCGCTGTGTGATACATCTAATAAACAAACTAATATGGGATTACTTACTACTACAGTGCCCAAGTTTTACACATATATTGATATGGATACACTCTATTAAATCAAATGTGTCTTTGAAAACAAACTTATATTTTTTTGATTCCTTTACATTCCGAGCTGTACGTAGGACTTCAGGCTAGGGCTTTGAAGTTTCGGTAGTGGTGCTTTCATTTTACTGGGTGTGCTAGCTTACATCACGCCCAACCTTACCTCTTTATAAACCCTACTACCTACCTAGCTAGGTGAAGTACTTTCTTGACCCCTGGTTAACCAAACCAGTGCCTAAGCGCTGAGCTGTGTGAGCACAGTAAATTCTTCTAACAAGTTCTAGTATTTCCACCGACAACTTTGAGAGAAGAGAGAAAAATGGTTTGTTTTCTCCTTTCTTCTCATGAATGTCACCTGTATAGGTGGTGTGAGAAGAGTTCTGCATGTGTTGCACTAAATGATGGTCATATATTACTGGTGAATAGATAAAAATTGATGGTTTCTCAATCCATTTTCACCCAACATAATAGACTGGAATCACCGGTGAGATTAGGAAAATAGGGCGGGACAACTATTCACCTCTCCTCATTTTTTTTCTTCAAATCATTATGCTACTATATATGATGAAAGTTTAATAGGCTTAGAAGTTAAATATTATCGCCAGTAAGGGCGTCATTCAATCTGATAATTTTCACTCAAAAAAATTCTGGTATACGTTGGAATGAATAAAGTTTTGTGGGTTTTTGAATAAGAATTAATTATCCGCAGAATTTTATTATCTTTAGTGTATATAGAAATGCCCTATTCAGTTAAACATGGAAATTCCCTCATATTTCCCATTAAAAATTTCAATATTCATGCCAATAAACTTACTATTCCTGTTAGTAAAAATCAAGAGCAGAAACCATAAAGTGTTCCTGAAAAGTTAATTGATTGTTTCAATTTAGAAACTAGATATCGTCGTTTACTGCTATTAATGTCATAATCATCATCATCGGTGTTATTCCCTCGGGCTGTTAGTGGAACATAAGGCCTCAAAAAAACGCCTCCAATTCACTCATTTCTCTGCAGTTTTTACAAAGCGGGCTCCAGTTTCACCCACAAGCTCTTATTTCCTACCCATACGATCTCTATGATATCACTATCATGTGCTGCCGTCGTCCGACTTCCCAGCAGCATTCCAAGTAACAGCCTCATCGCTGACGGATCTTGAACAGCACTCAACTGCGCAACAGCCTTGAAATCCTACCCGAAGATCCATATGTCTCCATCAAAATGTGCAGGGTATAGGCTTTCAATTTGTCTGCAGGCAGTGATGTCAAATGTAACAACAGAGGGCAAGACACGGAAGCTAAAGTATATTTTTCATTAATCAAATCGCTGTCTATATATCTACCGCTTATATTTGTTAATCAATCACTGAGCGTGTGATTTTGGTTTACATCAGATGACAAGAAATAAAGTGTTCAGATATACATAGTATTCTGTTGCCAATGCACTGTTGAACTGTGAAAAAGTGTCAGAATAACGTTTCGTTGGCACATATTGTCTGTTTTACACCACCACAGTATGATTGAACTAGGTTTCCCTGAAGACAAGATGTGTCTTTATATATATTTATATATATGTTTCATAGATTTTGAAATACATCTTACTGCCAAATGATCACGTCCGATAGGTTTCATAAGAGCTTTCAAGGGATGATACGTCTTTCTTATTGAGTCTCTGGCAGAATCACACTCACAATTCCTGCACTTCTTTATTTCTGGTGGTCTCAATGCATTAGCATTCTGATGATGGCATCTAGCAAATATACGTTGGTAGTTTAGTGTTCTGACATTCGCCAACTACTCAGATGGTCCAGGATTCGATGAAGTGGGACAATTTGATCATAAGATTCTGAATTATTCTGTACACCAACATGTAGTGAAAGCCCAAGACATCACCTTCTTTCATTGATTAGAAAATATCACCACTGTTCATTTCTGTTTAGTTTATGAGTTAACAAGTACTACTAGAAAGGTGAAAGATAGACTTCTGAAATAAAATTATAATAGCTTAATTCTGAAGAATATTTATTTCAGAAGACTGATTGGCGAACAATAAGTATTCAGATTTTCAATAATTTCTTCATCAGGTTCCACAGTTATATATACATTACAATGAAAGAATTAAAATTAGTACGGAGTTAAGAAAATCTAATAAAAGAACTTATAATGCCAGCAAGACATAAGTCGTATTTTCTACACGAGCGGTTGTGATTCCTCAACTGAAAAATGAAGTTTCTAGACTAGACTGGCCACCTCTAATTGTATCTACCAATTCAACAGCACATGTGGAGACAGCTGTATTGATCATTGCTCTAGGAACTTGATTTTTGCGCTCACTCGGGAACATATACCGGTGTGGTTTGGCTAAATAAAGGTGTAGTGAAAACCGTCATCAACAGTTCGATATAAGACCGCCTGGTCCAGCCCGGTCACGAAGCTAGCATTAAAGAATCCTCCTCTGTCATCCACCGGGTAACAAAGAAATTGGCAAAAACATCCAGTTGCTGAATGCTCCAGACAGCAGAAGGTGTCGCGATTGGCTTCAAAGAATGGGTTCTGTGTGCGTGTGTGCAGAAGAAGCAAGTCTAGCCACTACTACTGCTCTGGCCGCCCTGCAGTGGAGATTATAAATTCATGAATTTGTATTGTTATTTTTCCTAATTTCTCTGATATTCACTGTGTAATGTTACGTTGATGCATATTATCACTCTTACAAATGCTGTTGAACCATACTCTATTGATATTATCGATTCGAGGTTATTTAAACAACATCCATGTTGTTAATAACCTTAATTATTTCATTATTATGGAAGCTGATGAAGAGCAGGTTATCCGAAAGAATATTCTTTGTTCAGTAATCAGTGTTTCGAAATTTCTAATCGCATTTTACATCAATATTTATATAATGTACAGAATTTTAAGTGAAGTTTTTCGCATCATATTAATTCTCTTCGTCTGGGATCTTCAAATACAAGATTAATTAATGGTAGATCGTGTGTCACAGTTTTATCTGACCTGAAGAGCAAACCAATCCCCTTTATGATATTGCTTATCTGTTATCCTCTAAGGAATACATGACATTTTCTTAAATGTCAGCGGTGGAACGTCCAGCAGTACATTCAGCAAACGAAGGGCACCACTCAGCAATGGTCATCTCATGTTTTGGGATAAGCGCTGCCATCGAGGATAGTGCTTTTTTCTCATGAATAGTAAAAACTTCTGATTCATTAGGTTGTAAATGCTTTAAATATTCGCCAGAGTAAACAACACTACTAGAGTTCATATTTTAGTAGATTTAAACAAACTGTGTGTGGAGGTCAACAGCAATCAGCAAGAAAAATATGATCCTGATTTTCAACTCCAGTGTGAAGTCAGTGCTACTTTATGAATCAGAGACTTGGCGCCGCGTCATGAAGGGCACTTCAAACAGACTACAGACCTCCTGCAATAAGTACTGTTCTCTGAGCTGGTTAGTTTAGTTGCAGAGCTTTCATAGTCCCTCTGGACAACATCCTCAGCGCAGTTTTTAGCATAAAGTGAACTGATTTAAATTTTTTATGAGTGATAGAACTGCGTCTCCGCAACTAAACCAACAAGGTCAGATAACACTACTAATTGAAAATCATCCACCTGAGCTACAAATCTTCTCAATTTTTTCAAAAACTATAGACCTTCACCAACAGCTGTCTTCGCCAAATACTACTCAAGATCAGATGGCCGGCCAGAAGAGATCAGCAACAGGGATCTCTGGGAGCGAACCAACTAGGAACCGATTGTGCGACAAATAAGCAGGAAGAAATGGAGGTGGATTGGCTGTAATCTGAGAAGACAAGCCTTCAAGTGGTATCACAAGACCGGCTATCGCTTGAGTGGAACCCGAATGGGAAGCGGCGAGTTGGTCGTCAGCGCGAGGGTGACTTGGAGGAGGTTATGCGAAGAGGAGATGAAAGCGTGTGGACAGAATTGGGGCCAAGTGAAAACGTTGACAGAGAACCAAACGCAATGGACACGAGTGTCTGAAGCCCTATGTTCCCCTAGGAACTAAAGGAAACAATATTAATAATATAATAAACAAACTAAATAAGGGAAGCTATATGAAATATGGACATTGAAGCATCGGCCTTCTTTGATCAATTGGACAATATCAACAACACTCATTTCTATTTGCTTCGTTAGTTAACGAGTATCAGTAAAAAAGTAAAAGACAGATTTCTAGAATAAAATTACTTATTCAACATTGTGAAAACGGATAAATTTATAATCTGAGAATTTTTAATGAGGTTGGGAATAATTCTAATCATGGTAATAACAATAGTAATAATAACAATAATAATAATAACAATCTTGTTTTGATTAAATTGATTCTGTAGTTGGCGCTAAAGTTGGATAACGATTCTCTGTTACATAAGCTGTAGAAATATTATGTACAAAAGGATGACTGATCGGTGAATAGTGTATTGACGCACTGATTCCATCTTGTATTGATTCATTTGCGCTTAAGTGTTGATATCGAAGATCTGTGAATAGATTGTGAAAGAAGAAACAGAGAAGAAAATAAAATAAGTTATAGGCACATATAAACAGATCATATATCTCTGAGTTTTAATATATGTGTAAAACTTGGGCACTGTGCTAGTAAATAATTCCATATTAGTTTGTTTATTAGGTATATCACACAGTGAAACAGTATTATTTACTGGATGACACAGTTTCGAAAAAAACTTATTGTTCATAATCATATCAATTATAATCACACGACTTTGACACTTGAGTTTTATAGCTTTATTTGTTTTCTCCTATTTGTCGTAGGGGGAGTATAATTTTCCAGATATCTGGGACAGGTGATGAATTATTCCTATTACATGAATTTGCAGTTGATTCGATAGACAAAGCTTCTGTTATCAATCTCTCCCTCCATTCACCCTGTCACATTAGATTTTTAAACTGTCATCTTATCCCATCCAGCCTATTGTATGGTTGTGCGTAATTGCATGCAGTGAGTGCTATAGCTGAACTATTCTCTAGATTTCTTTTCTTATTTGGATCAACCAGTCTAGATTTTGCTAGGTTTTTATATTCGGCTATTGTGACTGCCCCTGTTCTACTAGTTTGACCTATGTATTTGACCTGACAATCATTGCAGGCAGGGTATTAGATAAACTAAATTGTTTTGTTTTAAAGGCTCCACAGGATTGATCCTTTGACCGAAAAAGCTTGTTTCTAATTGAGTTTGTGGGTTTGAATGCCGTTCTTATTCCTGCCTTGTTAAGAATTCTGCGTAAGGCTTCCGGGGTTCGTTCCTTGTATGGAATTACTACTGATGATTTAAATTCTTTATTGTTGGTGTCGTCATCAATATTATTATTATCATTATTATTATTGTTATTATCACTATCGCTACTATCATTATTTATTTTATTTTTACATTTCCTTACATATAACATAAAAAAAGCAAAATCTAGATTAGTTGACCTAAATAAGATAAGAAATCTAGAGAATAGTTCAGAAATAGCACTCACTACATGCGCTTACACACAACCATACAATAGGATGTGATAGGATGACAGTTTTAAAATCTAATGTGACAGGGTGAATGGAGGGAGAGATTGATAACAGAAGCTTTGTTTGTCCAATCAACTGCAAATACATGTAATAGGAATGATTCAACACCTGTCCGCGCAGACATCTGGAAAATCCTACTCCCCCTCCGACAAATAGGAGAGGACAAAGAAACCTATAAAACTCAAGTTTGAAAGTCGTGTGATTATCATTGATGATATGATTATGAACAATAAATAAACTGTGCTCGAAACGTCATCCAGTAAATAATACTGTTTCACTGTGTGATATACGTAATAAACAAACTAATATGGAGTCTCTGAGTTATCTCTGTCAAAGAATCGTGATATATTGTTATCTAATATTATAACTCTAGATTTTGGAGTTGAATCCAGAGCTTCAACAACCCTGTTCTCTGAAGTCCTTAGTAGTTGACTACAGAATTGCCTGCAAGCTTTCATCTCTCACTAACTCTTTCGCGTGTATGTCACACTTGGAAACACATCTAACTCATCGTTTTCTTTATGGTCTGCACTCAATGACCTACTCAGCATTTGTTGCCATTTTACTGTCTCTACATTATATTTCAGACCTATTTCTACCTTTCTCTGTTCATTTTTTCGGCAGTAAACTCTTGGTTGGTTCACTGTCTGTCAAAGTTCCTGGTTTTAGGACTTATTGAAGGAAGGCACACTGGTAGACTGGTTTACTGAAGGCTTTCACCAGTCAGCATCATTGACTCTTCCATTCTAGCTAAGAATACTTGCTATACGCTTTGAATGTGTGTCATCTATCCAAGCAGATAATCATGCGTGTGTATTGCACACTGAGCTGATTAGAAAGCTGTAGAGGATCCGGACTTTGCAGAAGATTAATGTCTAATATCAAAAAGACTTGACGACTTACAGGAAAACAACTAAACCTACGGGAAAAGAAGCAGAGCAGATGGGACTCCAAGTGGACATAAAGAAGTCGAAGGTGATAAGAGTAACCGACAACAACGACAAGCAAAGATCTCCACCGGCGGAAGAAATTTGAAAGAGATTATTTTCCCCACTTATCTAGGAAGCATTGCTTTAAACACAAACGGGCTCATGGGTGATAAATTAGTCAGGAAATATGTAGGGAAATGTAAAATAAAATAAATAATGATAGTAGTGATAGTGATAATAATGATAATAGTAATAATAGTATTACTAATGACGACATGCAAGTCAGATATAGGCAGGATAATAATAACACCAACAATAAGGAATTCAAATCATCAGTAGTAATTCCATTGAAGGAAGGAACCTCGGAAACCACATTACGCAGAATTCTTAACAAAGCAGGCAGAAATAAAAGTGGCTGGCATTCAAACCAAACACAAATTCAATCAGAAACACCCTTTGTAGGTTAAAGGATCCTGCCTGTAGAGCCCTTAAAACATAACAATTTAGTTTATCTAATACCCAGCTTGCAATGATTGTCAGGTCAAATATATAGGTCAAACTAGTAGAACAGGGGTAGTCACACTAGCAGAACATAAAAACTTAGCAAAGTCTAGATTGGTTGATCCAAATAAGTTGAGAAATCTAGAGAATAGTTCAGCTATACCGCTCACTACATGCAAATACACACAACTACACAATAGGCTGGATGGTATAAGATGACGCTTTTAAAATCTAATGTCAACAGAGTGGAAGGAGAGATTGATAACGGAAGCTTTGTTTATCGAATCAACTGGCGGGGAATACGTGCAATAGGAATGATTCAACACCTGTACACGCAGAAATCTGGAAAATTCTACTACCCCTACGACAAAAGGAGAGGACAAAGAAAACTATGAAACTCAAGTTTCGAAGTCGTGTGATTATAAATGATATGATAATGAACAATAAATTTTGTTCGAAACCTTGTCATCCAATAAATAACACTGTTTTACTGACTGTGTGATACATTTAATAAACAAACTAATATGGAAGTATTGGTAATGTGTTTGGAAATCTTTATCATTCAGCATACAAAACGAAATTAGGGATTTCAACATAGATTTCAAGTCAGTCATTTAGTCCTAATGGTTCAGAAACATGGCGTGTGTGTGCCACGTAAAGTATTTCCAACAGGATTCACAATTTATCAACAGCTGCCTCCTTGGCTGTCTCCGTTTACTGAAGATTGGATGGCTGGTCAAGGAGAATAAGCAAGCAGAATCTCCTGGAACGAACTAATCGAGAATTTATTGCCAATCAACACATATTCCGACAAAAATGTAGATGGAACGGACAGCAACTAAGCAGATTGTTGGCTAACATCGCGTAACAGACATACCATGGAGTTTAACATCAGCTAGGCATGGGTCCTGAGATGACCTAGAATGAATCGTATGAGATGGATATGAACATGCTGTACTCTCCCCACTTCTCTTTTCTTTCTTTCTACATGACTTATCTTCAAATGACATTAATTTTGTCAAATATGCTGACGACCTGATTGTGTCTTTGCCTGTCAAATGTCAGAGTGACTGCTCTAAACTTAATGGCTTTCTGTCAGGAATCACCGAGTGGTCCAAGGAAAACGGTCTTACCTTAGACCCCTCCAAATACCAAACAGTCAATTTCACCTTAAGGCATAAATTCGACCTAAACAAACTGGTTAGCTCTCACGAGGTATGCAACATAGATGGCACTCAAATAGAAACCAAATCGGAAATTAAATACCTAGGCGTCATTCTATCTGCTGATCTCTCCTGGTCGTCTCATATCTTGGCGATTTCTAAGAAAATATTCCGTCTTACCTTCTACATCTAGAAGTTAAAACATTCTGGTATAACTGAACCCTTACTCCTTCAATTCGTTAACTCTCGCATTCTGCCTATTATTCTCTTTTGTTCCCCTCTAGTTTTTCCCGGGCTACTGAAGAAAGACTATACCTTATTACGCAGGATGTTAAAGGTTGTCAGCATGGCAAGCAACGTGCCACTTAACCAACTTGTTAATATTCTGGTCGACAAGCACATGGACTCATGTGAGAAATGGGCCAAATCCATTTTGTCTAACTCACACCACCCTCTTCACTCACAACTCTCGCCTTGCATCTCATCAGGCAAAACCAGAAGCCTATATAGAAAACTATATGCTCGCACTAGCAAGGACAAAAATTCAACCATACCCTACTTAGCTCGTGTTCTGTGAGATAAAGAAAGCACTAGGCGTGACACCTATAATTCATTAAATAGTCAGTAGGAGAACTGGATCTCGTCTTTCCAACTCATATCATTTATAGGTACAACATTCTCTTTCTTTCTTTTCCTTTTCTCTCTCTGCATCTTTTTTCTGTTATGTGCTGCTTTGTTACTTTCTTCCGCCTGTGCCAGTAAATATGATAGCACCTACTTTTCTAACACCGTCAAACACTGTTCAGCTTTACCTTTGCTACCGACATGCCAATGTGTTGTTGTCATAATGAACTGAGATTCCCTTAATCTACGTAGAATTCTATTTATTGATACTGTACTAACTGGATGCAATACTGTATTAAAAAATGCTGAGAATTCCATTCTGTATCACAAGAACTGTTTTCGAATAAAGCAAATTATTATAATATTATTATTACATGGGCAGTCGTGGGACTACCTAAAGACGACGAACATAGAACGGGAGGAAATTCAGTAGTGCTGTTGAAGCCCTATGCTCAACTCGGAACCCAAGGGAATAATATTTACATACTGTTCGTCACTTTAACTCTCTCAAATACTGAAAATTGGTTAGCCATTTAAACCATTGAAAATCCACTTAATATACAATGAATCCCAAATTTTTAAAAGAAAACGAACGAGATATTTCCACTGGTCATTATTCCCAAACATACATAAATTCGAATGTTTTGTCTATTCACTGTGAACAATATTACTTTGTTAACTTTGTATAGCCGGGAAAATATTTGGATATAACAGTTTCATGCTTTACAACTAACCAACCAAATAACTAACTGTTTTCATGAATAATAAATTATCATTAAGAGCATTTGTCAACGGGAAATGGAAAGTAAATCGACAAAATAATGGGAAATAAAAGGGAAAATTGATGAAAATGTTATCCAGAAAATGGGATGATAACTTTAGTAGCTAATTCAGTTACTAATTATTCGTTTTTAAATGGTTATTCAACCGTTACTTTCAAGTGGCTATTCGTCAGGTGGCATATGTAAGACACAGCCAAAAAAATGGGCCCTATCTCTGACTTGACTTAACATTCAGTAACACATATATCTGAGGAAATGGAGATGTTCCCAAGACAGTGTTTGTGGAGTGCCTACATCTTCAAAACCACAAGCAGAATATTGACAATTCTGTTGACCTAATGTAGAGTTGACGATCGTAATCATGATCTTCTCACTGTCGACTAGTTCTGGATCTTTGTCAGGAAGATGACGGTATTTAGCTATGAACTACAGACTGACTGGGATGAGCAGTCGTCAAACACTTGTAATAACCTTCCATATTAGTTTTTTTATTAGATGTATCACACAGTTGGTGAAACAGTATTATTTACTGGATGATACAGTTTCGAACAAAACTTATTGCTCATAATCATTTCATCAATTGTAATCACACGACTTTGAAACTTGAGTTTTATAGTTTTCTTTATCCTCTCCTATTTGTCGTCGTTGGGGTGGTAGAATTTTCCAAATGTCTGCTTGGACAGGTGTTGAATCAGTCCTGTTATATTTATTTGCAGTTGATTCGATAAACAAAGCTTCTGTTAACAATCTCTTCCTCCAGCCTGTGGCATTACATTTTACAACTGTCATCTGAACCCATCCAACCTATTGTATGGCTGTGTGTATTTGCATGTAGTGAGTGGTAGAGCTGAACTATTCTCTAGATTTTTTATCTTATTCGGGTCAACGAATCTAGATTTTGCTAAGTTTTTATATACAGCTAGTCTGACTGTCCCTGTTCTACTGGTTTGACCTATGTATTTGACCTGACAATCATTGCAGGCAGGGTATTAGATAATCTGAATTGTTTTGTTTTAATAGCTTCACTGGCAGGATCCTCTAACCAACAAAGCTTGTTTCTAATTGAGTTTGTGGGTTTGAAAGCCATTTTTATTCCTGCCTTGTTAGGAATTCTGTGTAAGTGTTCCGAGGTTCCTTCCTCGTATGGAATTACTACTGATGATTTAGATCCCTTATTGTTGGTGTTGTCTTGCGCATATTTGAAATGCATGTTGCCATAAATATTATTATTATGACTATGACTACTATCATTTTTACTTTTATTTTTACATTGCCCTACCTACTTTCTGACTAATCTTTCCGGGTAATTTTCAAGGCTTCTCTTATATGTATCACTTCGTGTCTTAGATTTTCCTTGGTACTACTTAGTTTTATGCTCTGTCACTTAAACATTTCTCTAATCCTATTTTCACTGACAAAGGATGGGATGATTGGAAGTCTAAATATCTGTTTGAATGTGTGGGTTTCCTGTAAACACACAGTAGTGTGTTTAACTTCCCATCTTCTTTCCTTTTAACGCTGCAATCTAACCTTCGTTTCCTATTTTCAAAGCATAGAAATTGATGATATCTTGAAGCAAAACTTGTAATGCTCATATTTCGGATGCGTTGACTTTATAACGTTTCATTTACCACCATTCAAACATGTAAGCATGTTATTTTGCGTCATTTTGTTTATAAGCATAGTAATTTCCAGTAGTGATATGCAGCTGATGAGAAGCTGTGAAGCAGAATGACGATGTCATTTTATACTACGGATCTGGTATTTCTATCTTCATTGAAAAATGCAGATCGACTGGACATATGCTGAAGAGACGGTTCAGTGATGTCATACGGAAAACAGTCTCTCAAATGGAACCCAAATCGGAGATAAAGAGTTCCGCATTTGTCTCATAGTGACATAGAAAGGATCATTTGGGCTCGATGACAATCTTAAAGCCAGGCTAAAAGAATTATTCCGAGAACAGAATGAGATGGAGATGTACATCCGAGCTCTTTCCTGTTCCACTCGGAACCAGAAGAAATAGGGTGACTCTAAACTATAGCAGCCCAAACAGAATCTACCTAGCGAACGGACGAATGACCTTGACAAGGATAACTTTGACCAATCAGAAGGCTAAAAAAACGGCGCATAATTTTAATAAATTGTTCATATATAAGGAATGCAATGTTAAAAAATAGTTACAAAGGATAAAGTTCTCGTAAATGTTCCAGAAAACCTCCCAATTTCTCATAGGAGTCTTGATACTCATTTTAAACCATGTCCTGTACATGAAGTCATCTAGATAACAGTATGTCATTGCATTTCTTGATCCATTCACCGATCTGTTGGCTTTTCTTGAGGTTACTCCAAAAACCTGCGATGGAATTAGTGCAAGTTCCAGCAAAAGGATTGATAAAACCATTTGCATGTCTGACGACTTGATGAATATAGCCCAAATTTGACAACTGGCTGTAACTACTCCTTTCATCTTAATGAATAAACATCCCAAGCAGTACTAAGAGCTGGATAATAAGCAATAATATAGCTGCAATGCGATAAGGGATCACCTCAATGTGTCATATATCCCCAGGACTCCTTGTTGATTTGCACTTAATCTGCCTCGATTATATTTTCTTTTAATTAACACCGTCTCACCAACATGAACGATGACACCAACTCCGCCAAGTACTTAAGTTGGCGTGTTCATTTTCTTCGATGATAGGTCTCTGCAGTACTGGTACCATTACACTGCAGATACTTTCAAATGTTCTGTTTCATAAGCTGTTGCTGTTGTTACTGGTCTTTTCAGTACCCAGAAATGACACATCATTAAAATTTTCGTTAAAGGTACCTTAGGAATCTATAAACTAAAAAAAGAGCATCCATAGATACGTCTGGATAAAAACAGAGTCACCTGATTGGCTGCTCAAGGTCATTTTTCCGTTCGCTGGTTAGTTTCCGTTTGGGCTGCTATAGCTTAGAGTTACCGGGAATAATAACAATAATCAAAATTTAATAGTAATAACAACGCAAAGATTTCAGTTGTTTCAAGTCTTCTTAGACGAGCAAACTCTTTGACAACGGATGAGAAAGGAAAAGAAGAAGGAATATCAAACATTACTGAAACTCTCAAGCAAAACAACTACCCATGGAACTTCATCAACAAAATCATTAAAGGCATTAAGTATGGCCGAAAACACATTCCGAAAACATGGACATTACCAGTCGTCATTCCATATAGAGCAGAGATGTCAGATGATATCAGAAGATTACTCAATCAGCTCGACATTAGAGTTTTCTTCAAAACATCAGACACACTTCAAAGCAACCTTGTTCATATAAAAGATCACATCCCTAAATATTCTCTATGTAATTGTGTCTATAAAATGAAATGCTTGGAATGTGATGTGATATATATCGGACAAACATCTCGAGAAATAAAAATCAGAAGAAATGAACACCGTAGAGCGTCTCTTCGACGACCAAGAAATCCTGTTGAACTACAAAAACTTGAAAAATCATCAGTCTACACGCTATAGAATCAGGCCACAAAATTGATTTTGACAATATTGAAATAATCCAAAAAACTTCAGAAATCACAAAGAACGTCTAATATCAGAAGCACTACATATCAAGTGGAATCCAAATTGCCTGAACAGGATTGATGGACTTAAACAGAATCTGACCTGGTTACAACACCTCCCTCCCCCATGAAGTGACAAAATCAACACGAATGTGATAAGCACTTTCATTATGTAGACACACGCTGCTTTTATAATCTTACACACTGATCAAATTCAATAATCTACACTTGGTTTTGTTATCTTTGCCAATTGACCAACTTGACAACGAAAAACGCCCCCAGACAGACAAACGATGATCAAGTTAGTAAACTTTGTTTTGATATCATAACAGACGTACTATTACCTTTGTTATTTGGTTTACTGATCTTCATTGTTATTTTTACTTTCAATATGTCCCTTTAACTTGACCTAAGTGTATTTTCTCAACCCCTAACTCTTTGTTATACATATGCTGAGATTTTGTAAATTCCGGTTTAATATAGCTGCTTTGATAAAGATATTAGCAGCAGCATTAAATAGGGAAACATCAGTGAGAATGACAGTATCGTTTTGTTTTTCATTCATTGAGAAATCCAAAAACCTTTATTATAATGAATAATAACAACGCAGTTCAATAATTAACTTTTTGAAACTTACTCGGATTAGTTAACTCATTGAAAGAGTTTGTATCATATCCATGTGACGCATTAGGATAATACATGTTCAGTGACGCTGCACTGCTTAAATTTGGATGAATATAACCTGCTGGAATGGATCCATTTGGACTGTTACATTTACTTCGATCCATATAATGCAATAAAATGTCTTTTTCATATTGAGGTAAGTAGGTTGTGTTGTTTTGTTCTACGGACAATGGACTGATATCTAAATTGTAGGTCATAGCGTTATTGACGTCTTCAAGTTTTACTTCCTCCTGTTGGGCGCTTGTAGATTTCGATTTCATACGATATAGAATAACGATAACAATTATGGTGATAATTAGAAGGAAAATTGTCGAGACAATACCAATTGTCGTAGGCCATAATAATGGATTTCGCTCTTTTAGAGATTCTGAAGGTTGTGATGATAAATGAAGGAGGTGATTGGCGCCTAATCCCTCTGAATCATATTCATCTGTGTTGAATTGATGAATTGATGCAGAAGAAGAGGATGAAGAATGCACGGAGGATGAGGGTAAAGTATGACTTCCTGACAGAGAATCAGGTAAATCATTCACTGGTCTCTGGTATATTTCCATAGGTAATATATTGAGGTATATAACAGAATTTGTGCTAAGTGGTTGAGGTTTCCCATGATCTTGAACTGTTATGAATAGAATATATCTAGGAAAAAGAAAAGATAGAACAACAGTGTGTAAGGATGGAGAGCGTTATTCAGTTCAACGCAGCCATGATATACTTTAGCGATGAACGAACTCCAATTCAAGTTTCACTCAGTACGGAGTGTCTTAATGACATTATTCAGTTTTGAGCAAGTTCCCTTTCTGTCGTGTATTCATTCCCATCCTGATAGAATTAATTCTAGCATCCATTTAGCCACAGAAGTACAGATCACTTTATCAGTTGGTGGTGCATTATTTGCACACTTCGGTTTCAATGAATCCACGAAAAATGATGTTAGAAATCAAATGGATAATCTGAATTCCAATAATGCAACGAAATCTGATGAAGAAACTCTTTATCCAAAACGAGGAGATACTGTGGTGACAACTGTCTGCTAGCCAAAATTGGTAGACAGCAATTTACGTCGATGTTTACTTCCCAAATCTTGGTCATGAGAAAAACAAGAACAAAGACATTGCGTGGGCGGATACGATTCGCAGACAACAGGGTCTGACATTTTTTGATTTGACACTAGTAACTAGTGTGATGCGTCTAGTCCTCTCTTTGGTGCAGACTGAATTCTATCATTCAGGTTGTAATGTGGCTACCATTCTAGGTAGCTCGCCATCATCGTGTACATTGTTAGTGATGATATTAGATGGTTGGAGGCAATCGGCAGGAAGCCTTGGACCTAGGTTTCGTGCTAGTTGGCACTTACCAGTCAGCAAGGCGTATCTGTAACTGCCTTGAAGGAACTCATGTCCCTTATGAGATTCAAACCCGCGTCACCCAGTGCTGCAGTCAGAGACGTTACCACTGAGCTATTCGGGCTCGCGATTGACCTCCTGTAGGACTGTAATGGATAATTTGATTTGACACTAGTAACTAGTGTGATGCGTCCAAGGCTTCCTGCCGATTGCCTTCAACCATCTAATATCATCAAAAACAGTGTACACCGTGATGGCGAGCTAGCTAGAATGGTGGCCACATTACAACCTAACTGATAGAATTCAGTCTGCACCAAAGAGAGGACTAGACGCATCACACTAGTTACTAGTTTCAAATCAAAATATCCACTGCAGTCCTACAGGAGGTCAATCGCGAGTCCGAATAGCTCAGTGGTAACGTCTGTGACTGCAGCTCTCACTGGTTGACGCGGGTTCGAATGTCCTCAGAAGGTACATGAGTTCTTTAAAGGTTGCAGATACACCTTGCTGACTGGTCAGTGCCAACTAGCACGAAACCTAGGTCAGGAGGGGCTTCCTGCCGATTGCCTTCAACCATCTTATATCATCAACACGGTCCGACCTTCAAAGAAACGGCCACAAAGAGATGACAGAATAACTTTCAGCGAGAAAACAACCAATCAGAAGACGCTGTTTCTCTGTTAATAACTACGAATAATAATGTACATAAAAATATATATAAATATCTCTTGATTTTTTCAATAAACGATCTGTTGCCTGGTCCTTGTCTTCTGTCGTTACAATATGATGAATTTTTCAGATCTCAGAGGAAAACAAAGGATTCCCTACAGTTTCCATTACGTGCCGTGTTGCTAAAAATGCTTCTGGAGATATTTTGAACTTAGTAAAATCTCTTGTGAAGTTCAGTTTCTTTTCAAAGAAAATTTTCAAGATTTATCTTTCATTACACATTCATCAACCTGAAACCAATCTGGAAATCATCGTCACTCAACATCAACAACAAAATTCGGATTTTCAATACAAACGTCAAGTGAGTCAGTTCTTCTATACGGATCAGAAACTTGGTGGGTCACAAAGAATATTTCTAACAGCCTGTTGCAGACGTTTATCAACAACTGTCTTCTCTCTCTGTACTGAAGATCAGATGGCCGGAAAGAATCGCCAACAATCGCCGACCGTTAGTGATCTAGTGCAAAATCTTTCCTAGGAGACGTAGGGGGGGGCGCAGATGCAATCACTCAATGTACTATACCATATTCATTGAACCATCATGTTTTTACCACGCTGCTATTCTTTATTATTATTATTATGGTTTCCTTAATTCCTAGAGGAACATAGGGCTTCAGCCAAACGTCTCCATTGCGTTCGGTTCTCTGCTAAAGTCTTCACCTGGCTCCATGTCTGCCCACACGTTTTCATCTCCTCTTCACATGACCTCCCCCAGGTCACCCTTGCACTGACGACCAACTCACCGCTTCCCTTTCGGGTTCCACTCGAGTGATGGCTTGTCTAGTGATGTCACTTGATGGTTTCCTCAGAGTATGGCCAGCCAATCCATCTCCATTTCTTCCTGCCTATTTGTTTTACAATCGGTTCCTTCTGTGTTGGTTCGCTCATTGCTAGAGATCTCTGTTGCTGATCTTTTCTGGCTGGCCATCTGATCTTGACTAGTATTGAGCGAAGACAACTGGCTGTTGATGAAGGTCTGTAGTTTGTTTGAGATGCTCTTTATGACGCGCAGTGCAAGTCTCTGATCCGTATAGTAGCACTGACTGACTTCACATTGGAGTTGGAAATCCGGATCTTATTTTCGATGCTGAGTGTTGTTGAACTCCACACAAACTTGGGAGCAGTGAAAGCTTGTCTTGCTTTCCCGATTCTAGCTTTGATATCCTCGTCAGTTCCGTCCGTATGTAGTTGAAGCGATGCTCTCCAGGTCGGTGGGTGAAGGAGCTTGTTTCTTTCAGGTTACTCATATTTGTGCTGATCTTTGTCAGTTGTTGTTGTTGCTGTTGATGTTGTTGCCCAGGAATCTTCATCACCTCTGTTTTCTCTATGTTCACCTGAAGTGAAGTCCTATCTTTGATGCTTCTTCTGCCCCTATTCTTTAACTCTCACATTTTTGCATTTGGTGCTGTTCTGTGTAAAGGCCTTTGCTGCAAAACCACTCAGCCGGTCAGTATATGAAGAAAAACTAAATATTTGTCTTGCACTTGACTTAGATATTTCAACTCTGTACAAGTAACTGACTGAAGAATCGTCGTATCCTATGAACAAGTGTCTTAAATGTCTGAAAGCAAATCGTCAGTTTTATCCTCATGAAGTGTAAGAGGAAACAGTTCTGATGTGTGTCATTCTAATTACAATATTAATTATTATTCTTCCCTTGAGTTCCCACTGGGGCATACACCTTCGACAACAAGTCGCCATTTCGTCTTTTACTCTGCAGTTCTCTTTAGCTAGTGCTAACATTACCCATAGCATCTCATTTCATCGTCATACAGCCTTCTCCATGTCACCCTCAGAACTACGCCCAACTAGTCGTTTCCCATTCGGGTTCCACCCCAGTGATGAACTGCTGCGAGATATTATCCGATGATCTTTCTCTCTGAGTGCCCCATCCATCTCCATATTCTACCAAATTTTTGTCCAATTATATATCATTTTCAATTATATATCAGGATTTTCAACTACAATGTGAAGTCAGTCAGTGCTACTATACGGATCAGAGACTTGCACTGCGCGTCATAAAGAGCATCTCAAACAAACTACAGACCTTCATCAACAGCCAGTTGTCTTCGCTCAATACTAGTCAAGATCAGATGGCCAGCCAGAAAAGATCAGCAACAGAGATCTCTAGCAATGAGCGAACCAACACAGAAGGAACCGATTGTAAAACAAATAGGCAGGAAGAAATGGAGATGGATTGGCTGGCCATACTCTGAGGAAACCATCAAGTGACATCACTAGACAAGCCATCACTCGAGTGGAACCCGAAAGGGAAGCGGTGAGTTGGTCGTCAGTGCAAGGGTGACCTGGGGGAGGTCATGTGAAGAGGAGATGAAAACGTGTGGGCAGACATGGAGCCAGGTGAAGACTTTAGCAGAGAACCGAACGCAATGGAGACGTTTGGCTGAAGCCCTATGTTCCTCTAGGAATTAAGGATACAATAATAATAATATATCATTGATGGGTCCGTTCCGAGAGTTGCTTGTTTCTATACAATAATGTGTGATTAATCAAAAAAAAATCTTATCCCCAATGGAGTTATACTCTACCACAGTGCCTACATTTTTCATACTTATATTTCTGGCCGGCAGTCTGAACTTCAGAATGGAGTTACGGAGGGCAACTGTTGATAAATTTTGGAGCTTTCTTGACATACTTCTGGTGAAGAGTGTATCAAGTTTCTAACCCACCCGCAATCTAGTCTGCATCCTTCACGTTCCCAGTGGAACATGGGGCTTCAAGCCTCTAGCTTCAATCTTCTGTAGCAGTTGTGTTTATTTTTACAGGATGGAGTTGCTAGCCTCATGCTCAACCTTTCCTCTTTCACAGCTTTATTACTGGCTGAGTGAGGTAAAGGAGTGTGTCTGTAGCCGGGGATCGAACCTCCAACCACGTGCATGGTTGGCGAGCGCCCTAACCACTGTGCCACCGACGCACCAACCTAATCTGCTAGTTTGTTAGTTTTCTAGTCGGTCCTTAGCCCAGGAAAAGAGGGAAGGTTAGGCATGCGGCTAGCTACCCTACCGTGGAAGAAATCAATCGTCGCTATAGAATCTTCAAACTTCAGGAAAAAAAGCACTCAAAAAAAATAATTAATTATTCCTACTACCCGCAGACACTTATTTATCGCTCATTTATTTCAAAAACATTTCTTCGAACAAAAATTCATCTGTTTGTTTAGCTTTTTTTGCGAAAGAAACTATAACACTAATGCACGTGTTACAGGGAAAAAGAATCATTTAATATCCTAATGAACAGAGGAATATTCTAGTCAACCTTATCAGTCACGTGATATCATTAATAACTCGAGAAATCGTCGAAGCGTATTAAGTAGCTGTCGACATAGAAATGTTGAATGAGCGTTTCTAACGAATACAAAACAATTCATGGTATATGCAGATATACTTAATCGAGCACTAGCTGATGTCTGTTACGTGAGAGGTAGTCTAATGAACAACATGTCGACGTTTGGAATGATCAACGATGTGTTAGAGTCTGTGTGGAAAGACCATCTTTCACCAAAGATGCGAGTTTATCAAGATGAAGAGTCTCAAGTAGATCGAAATGCTCATTCTGGATTTAATTGTATAAGGGATTGATACTCAAGGAATATTCGCTGAAGCTATCAAGTCGTGAAATGTATCGATCAAGTGAACAAAGCGATCAGAGTACAGTACAGTGCATTGTATAATAATGGAAAGTTTCTACTATATTATTCACTTGTTCTAGCTGGCGTTCCTCGCTTAAGGTGCTGTTCTTTCGCCTTTTCTGTTTTCTTTCTTCACACACATTAAGTATACAGATGATTTGACTGTTTCTGTGCCCGTTACTTTTTAGTTAGATTGCTGCAAATTGAATAACTCTTTATTATAAATTAGTCAGTGATCTTTGTCAGATGGTCTTAAACGAAATCACACTAAATGTGAGACAAAAGTGAGACTTATCTGAACTGGTTCTTCCCCATGATTCTCGTATCACGAGTAGAACTGCAGTCAAAACAAATTCGAATGTTAAATACCTTCGGTAGTGTCTTTCTTGATCTGCTCATATCATATCAGTTTCTAGAAGGATGTTTTTCATTAGATGTTCTACTTAAGGAAGTTATGATAATGTGGAACTATCCAGTCTATACCTTTACAGTTTGTTAACTCTTGTATTCTAACTACTCCTTTTTATTGCCTACAGATCGCCCACCTCCTTGGTCCTTCACGGGCTACTTAAGAAAGGCACTGTTACACTGTGAAATTAAATGAAAACTGTCATTGCAGCTAGTGGGTGTCTCCAAAAACACAAGAACTCCCGGAAGAAACTAGCAAATATTATCTTATAGGATTTCATCATGAGCTGACATTGATTAGAGAACCACTGGAAAACCTGGGAGTACTGGACAGCTGTTTCATCCTAGTTTGAGACTCTCCAGCAGAACGCACCCACAATGCGGGGTTCGAACCCAGGACCTTCTGTTTTTAAATGGCGAGCTCGTATACCATTAAGCCACTGGGACCCGATCCAATGGCATATGGATTCTAACTTCTGCCAATTCACGACATAACGCTACCACTACCCAATATCTTCGGCGGGTTTTTGCATCCTACTGGTCACGACTTCTCACCAGAGCCCCAGGTAATTACCTACCTTAAAAGGGTAAGTCGCTAGTGATGATGAAGTCCTGTAACTAATCAAATCCCTACAAACCAACACTTGAATATTATCCTGTCGGACCATAAGCATTCTCCCTAATCACAACTCTCTCCTCTTGAATCTCATCAGGTGGGAATAGAAGCAACTATAGAAGACTCTATGCTCGGACGACTAGACATAAAATCTCTAAGATACCTTATTTGTAACACATTTTATGTGATGAGAAAACTGTTAGGCATGACTCTAGTACCTGATCGAGAAACATGAATAAAAATAGCTCTTTTCATTCATTCTTTCGTTATTACACTGTTGGTAATATTTCCACTTAATTGAATTTAACACTATTATTCTTTTTGAGAAGTATTATCCTTGTAAGTACCCTGTTTCCATTAATACTCCTATAACGAGGAAATTAGATGTAAAACCGTATTAACTGCTGAAATCTTATGTATGTACCTGGTGCACTGTTTGGGATAAAGCCATTATTATCACTCAGTTAAGTGATGGAGACAGCGCCAAACCTTTTGGTGTAATTTGGCACCTTCATTATGAAGAATTGATAAATTCATCATCAAAATTCACAAAAGCTAACTTTAACAAATCTCAAATGGTTTTCAGGGATCTCATTATTCATAGGATTCCATTACGAGCTGACATAAGTTGGAGAACCGCTGGAAAACTCGCACTTGAATACAGAACTAAACTGGGACTCCTCATCAGTGCGCACCAACTACCCGGGTTCGGACTCAGGACATTCCGGTTGCAAGGCGAGCTCGTAGACCACTCATCAGATACTGGGACATGACCCAATGGCAAGCCCATGAATTCCAACTTCTCCACATTCACGATAAAGCCCGAACACCAGCCAGTGTCATCCGTGGATTGTATCTGTCCACATACCTGACCTTCTGTACGCCACTGGTCACGACTTCTCATGACTAAATCCTGTAACCAATTAATTCCTGCAAACCAACTGTCGAATATCAGTCTGTTGCCGACAAACGACCGGCCCTATTTAGGTGGGTAGTTGCATGGGTTCCAGGGAGAAGTCATACCCAGTGAGGCACATCAGATCAAGTGTGAGGACAAGTACTCGTCATGGATGACACTGAATGGTTGTCGCGCTATATCGTAAATTAGCTGAATCTTGAGGTCATGGACTGCCGATAGGACCGAGTCCCGTTGGCATTATGGTCTACAGGCTCGCTTCCTAACCGGTAGGTCCCGAGTACTAATAGTGAGGGTGGCTGCGTACTACTGAGGAGTCCTGAAATGGGACGAAAAATCCAACTTTCCTGTACTCCCTGGATCGTTTCCAGTGATTTTCCAACCGATGTCAGCTGATGATGAACTCTTTTGATCAAATGGAGATATCACAAATGCATATACTAAACAGCAATAATCATTCCAATAAAGAAAATCCTGCAGTCGATAGTTTCTCCTATAAATCCTTTAGTATTACTGGACTGTTGTATTCCTATGATCCCTAGGCATCAAGGCTATCAGGTCGCATGAAATGTGATCTTCTTTTTACGTAATTTCCCCTATCAAATATTACAGGTTAGTCTCACACTCCAAAAAGGAATTTTATTTTCAATTACATAACTTATAATTTCGCCGTAAGCCATTTAGTTTCATATAGTAGCTTTTAAAGCGGTCTACCTGAGTCGTTTTTACGGCTGTGAATAAGTTCTGGAGACGAATTTGTACTGTCTTCCTGGTTGTGGTGAATTTCAGGACTAGCTGGTATTTCTTGATATGGTCTACGCGCGAATTAATTTCTTGGTTTTTGTAATTTATATCAACGATTGACGTAATGTGTGTGGCATTTAACGGCCGAAAAGAAATCTGAGTAACGGCCGGAATCAGGCCGGTTACCTTCGAATTATTCTAGTAGGCAGCTGTGAAAACTGAGTGATAAGTTTCCGTTGATGGGGAGATCATTATTTCACTGCAGTCTTAATGAGTAGGCCTCAACTGTCCTGTGAATGATTAATGCGTAGGTGTTAATGTGTCCTGATCACAGAGGCAGAAGAGCCGTTTATTAATTACTAGTGACAATATCTAAGGTCCTGCCAGGATGCCAAGTTATGGACCTTAGGGCTTGTAAGTCGGTGATTTAGGAGTGAGACTGTCGTCGGCAGTGTACATGGTCAGTGTTGAATATCCGAAAGACGTGCTCCCAAAGCTCGCTTACGCAATAAATAGGGAAGATGGAGCCAGAGACCAGCATCCCCTACAGCTCACATCAGAGAAGAAACCCCAGTGCTACAGAGGCTTCAAAGAATAATTCTGAAGTCCTATTTTGGACGTGGAATGGAGAGGGATGAATAAAAGCACGATAGAATATGTAACATGAATCAACTCACCTTCCTACATCACTCAACAATAATTGCCTTGTTGTACTCAAAACTCCCGTATGCGAATTCAACACGATAAAAGATTTCACCTGCCATCTTTGACTATTGCTTTCATAAGCAGTCTCTGGAAATGACTGCATATGATGTAGTGTATAACTGAGCCTTGCATTCTCGCCAGCATCTTTATCTTCTGCATTCATTTGAATAATTACATAACCTTGTGGTACTTTATATGATATAGATACATTGGTTATGTAATATGGGGGATTAAACGTCATTCTATCGGTGATAATACTTTTAACTGGAGGTGTTAAAATTCTCGTAGAATAGAAAGGTTCTTTCAAGGTTGGCGGATTGTCATTCACATCTTGCACATGAAGTATTATTTTCACTGAATTCTCGGCAGGTTTTGAGAAACTGAGATCCCTATTAGTTGATGACGTTGTTAATGTGAAAATGTGTCGATCTTGTCGCTCACGATCAAGTGGATGATTTGTTAAGATTGTATACCCTGTGCATTCCTTGTTCGAGTAGCTGTCACATAAGAATTTAGTGGGTGATAGATAGAAATTTTTCGCGTTGGATAACAGGGGTGTGGAGTCGATTTCAATTAGTTTTAGTTCACACCGCTTATCCAAATGGTCGCTGGCTTCAGAAATATTGTTAAAAGGATTGACACAGTAAACTATGGTATTCAGTAGCACAGGAGTTCCTGGTGAGATAGATTCTGGAGTATAAAATTCATAGGTATGATTTGAATAGACAGTAAATGAGTTGTTAGTGAATACTCTTCTCAGGTAAATTCGACTGTTAGTTTTCGGGTGAACTGACAATGAAGTTGTAGAGGTTTCTTTTGGCTGGTTATCGCTACTACTACTACTACTGATTGTCAGATTAAGTAGTAATCGAATTTTATGATTTAAATGCTTTGAGTAGTCGTATAGGGTGCCAATTTTTGAAGCTTGTATTATCAATTGTTTTTTAACTGGCCGATGGTCGGTTAGTAGAGGTTGATTGTTTCGCAGTTGGACTGTACCAGATATTGAATCGATAACGAAGGTATTTCCTAAAACGAAGGAAGCCGTATTCATGAAAAGTAAGAATTGTATTTTATATGTACATGGTTTCTCTGATAAGTTTTGATAAGGACAGAAAGATAGATTAAATTTTGCAGTGTAAAAAAGTGATATCATCATTCTACCTCACAGGTTCTCATCAGCTGCCAAAGATTATTTGAAATTACAGTGTTTATAAACACAATAACCATAACATAACTCAGTGTTTGGGTGGCAGTAGTAGAGAAAACATCACAAAATTAAAGCATCTGAAATACAGGGCAGAAGGACAATGCAGGACAGTTACTAGCTCAGTTCAAAGCACTTGATGGACTCAAACTACACAGCTTCACCAGAGTTATCTTAAAAGATTATCTACAATGTGACACCATATGCTACAAACGGTGTCAGATTTCGGCATCCGTGTATGGCGAAGGCGTTGGCGATTCGTCAATACGTCCTCGAACTCTGTATACAGAAAAATTGTGTCTAGCGTCTTCTTATATCATGGTCTTAACCTCTTCATTAATCGTTTGGGGTAATTTTTTATTTTTTATAATTAAATCACTATTTAAAAAAATTAGTTTCCTTTATGAATTTAGATACAGTAATAAAAAAGAGGTAATTTGTCTGAATCGTGTTCTGATGTATTTGCGCAACACGCTTCAAACAATCTGATCACACACGGACTTGTAATGGGCATATGTATATATGAAATTAATAAAGAGGTAAGAGGTGAGAAAATAGATTACTTGGGTCAAGTTAAAAGAACATATTCAAGGTCAAAATAACAATGAAGATCACTAAACCAAATAACAGAGGTAATAGTACATGGCTTCAGAAATAAATGGAATCTTCAGAACCTGTTAATGGTGAGAAACATATTATAGAGACAGGATATAAAACTGACGTTAACAGATCTTTTAAACCCATCTATAAAACGTGTTTGGCGCGTATCCTTAAGTTTGTGGAAGCCCCAACAATTAGAAACCACCTTTATGCGTTCAAAAACAATTCGTCATCACATTAAACCTACCTTCCTTGGTAAATTTTGTTTTGATACCATAGCAGATGTACTATTACGTCTGCTATTTGGTTTAGTGGTCTTCATCGTTATTTTGACCTTGAATATGTGCTTTTAACTTGACCTAAGTGGTCTATTTTCTCACCTCTTACCTCTTTATTAATTTCATATATATTCCTATGGCAAGTATGTATGTGATCAGATTGTTCGAAATGTGTCGCGCAAATGCATCACAACACGATTCAGACAAATTACGTCTTCTTATTGCTTTATCTAAATCATTATTATCACTGTCACATATTCATTTTGTACTTTTTCTCACCCGCTTCATACTTGTTAAATGGACACTCAGCTGCCTTTCTTTTCACTAAGTACCGATTCTAACCTTATCAGAATTCCTGATCTTTTATTCGTGTGTGTCACTGAATATTATGTAATTCGCAACTTTTATTTTTACTTCTGAAGGCACTTCTGAGTAATTATATCAATAATGTCAACCCACCTCCCTATTACTACTATAGATTTTTGGTAAATATAAATAAGACTGTACAGCCTGTTAAGGTGATTTCGTCGATAAAAAGAGTTCTCTTCGCTGAATTCTCCATTATTTTCTTTATTAATCAATTAGAATTTTTGGTGATTGAAACTTTTACAACTTTTAGTTTAAGTTACCATTATGGAGGAAATTTATTTTGATAAAGTCTCACAGCGTGTTATACAGTAACATTTACTGATAACGAATATAAGCCATCTACAGTTTTACCACATGTAAGGAGGGGACGTCTGAAACCGCGCGAGTAGGATTCTTAATAAAGCAGGAATTAGGGCGGCATCTAAACCTATAAACTCACTCAGGTAGGACAAATTCTGTAGGTTAAAGGACCCAATTGACCCAATTAGACAAAATAATATAATTTACAAAATACCTTGCGATGACTGTGAGGTCAACTACATAGCTCAAACTAGTAGGTCGGGGATAGTCAGATTATCAGAACATAAGAATCTAGGTGAGGTTAGAATGGTTGACCCAGAGAAGATATGTATTTTAGCAAAAAACTCAACTATAGCACTTCATACATTAACACACAACCACATAATAGGGTGGAAGAGAGTTAGAATTCTTAATCGTAATATAGGTAGGTAGAGTTAGAGAGAGATTGATTATTGGATCTTTGTTCATCGAATCTACGCTCATCACTAATACCAGAAATATTGAAAACATTTCCACCAATCATAACACGAGATGAGAAATAATGGAATTATAAAAACAGAAGTCGGTAAGTTGTATGAGTAGTGTCTTGCTTTAATTATGAGCAGCAATAAAATTGTGCTCGAGATGTGATCATCAGTAAATATTATTGTATAACACGTTGTGAGACATTATCGAAATAAATTTTCTGCATAACTGAATTATACTCTGCCACAGTGCCCAAGTTCTATTCTTATGTCTTCGTTACAAGATTAAAATCTGCTCACTGAGGTGAAATAACTCACTAACATGGATGACAAATCAATGTAATCAAAGTGCTGTCAGCTACCAAGGGAATCAGAGATCAGTCACAATCTCCTTCAGTATGTTTTGAGATGTTCAATTTCAACTGCTTCAGCGATTCGTAGTATCCTTGTCTATCCTTCGTATGTTTAGTATTATTTTAAAGGATTTCGAAATCTCAGCGAAACGACCAGTATCCACAAGGTGTCTAGTAATTGCACTTTGAGAATATCTGCTTCCTTTTAGGCATAGGTCACTTAAGATATGCTCAGAAAGCCGGAAAGAAGGTCTTCTCTCTGTCCTTCCAATGTACTTGCTTCGGTAAGTGAAGATAAATATATATAATCACAGCTAGAGATAACATCAGCAGGTCTGCTACATGAACTTACAATCTAACAATATTATTCAGATTTCTCCAGTTTTTATCTTCTTCTCCATCCCACCTTTTCTATTTTAGAAACATATAAGTTGATGGTTATTTAAATCATAAATTTTAATGCTCATTTTTCGGACGCGTTTATTTTATAATGCTTACTATGCTATCATTTAAACAAAGCTTGTTACCATTGTATTTTTAGATGGTGGTGTGCAGCTGATGAGGAGAAGCTGTGAAACAGAATCATCGTATTATTATCGAAGTCCCATATTTACTTCTTTATCTGATTTTGCTCTTCCTATTGAACTGGAATGCTTGGTCACTACTATCAGTTCACTTAAGTACCTAGCCAGAAATCAGGTGTGATTTCAACTTATTCCGCTCTCTGAAATGACTTAGATCCAGGTACACAAATGATGAACTTGACCTCAAAAGACAGGAACGTCCATCCGGTGTTTAGATCACCTTTATCAGACTGGCTAGCAAACACTACTGTTAAGTGTGAGCATTGTGGTATATACAACTACTCATCTCTATCATTTAAGTAGTATATAATTCTATGCTAAAATATTATACTTTCATAGATGAATTACTTACCATCAGGTATCTCTTGAATCAATTCATAAATAATTTGAAAATTCTCTTCTTTTTCTCCTCCAGCAGCTTTTGCCACAACAGTAAACAACTTTTGACCTACAGCGATATTTCTTTGAAGAAGAAGAAGTAAACACACGCTTGATTCTGCTTGAAAGTGTGTACTGTGCAAATCAGAGGGATAAACAAATTCCACTTTATAATGACTGTATGATTCTTGTTTCCCGCTGATCACATATTGACCGGTACTCCATTGATCGAGTGCATAGATTCCTGAAAGTGTTGAGTGTGACGCGCTGTTTGAATAATAATTATGATAATAATAGTAGTGATCGCAATTGACATCATTACGAATAAAATTGCCTAAAAGTTTCAAATAGGAAAATTTTAATTCTCCTTCTCTATTGTCATTGATTTTTTCAACAATTTCAACGTGTACAGTTTGTTTGGTAGTCAACGATGGAGTTCCATGATCATGACATTGAATGAGAAGATAAAAGTCGGAGATCTTATCAGGATCGAAAAACTGTAAAGGATAGAAAGAGAAAATTAAAAATATTGATAAAGTTTAGCTGAAGGGCAATACAGAAATGAGCATTTTACCTCGTGAAAAAAGGTTCTGAAAGTTTATAAGAGCATCGCTATTGGGAGCCAACTCCTCAACGGGCACTTAATAATAATAATTTGCTTTATTCCAGAAACAGTGCTAGTGGTACAGTGTGGAATTTTCAGCACATATCTACAATATTTGCATCGAATTCCATCCCACGTTTAAAAGGAGTATTTCAAAAAAATATGAAGACAACGAAAAAAACAAAAATAAAACACAGAAATAATTAAAAAAAGCAAAATGATACTGAGAAGTACAAAGGAAAATAAAACAACATAATAAATAATATCTCAGTATTGGGTAGTGGAAGCTATGATGTGATTATGCATGGTGACAGTAAAGCTGTAGTCATACGAGAAGTTCTAAAATGATATTGAAGAATGTTTACCGCCAAGATGATCAGTTCATTTGGTTGAAACAACTCTAAACAATCATAAAATAACATTTCAGGTTTGCTGTTTTGTTTTTTATTGTCAGGTCTAATGCAGTGTTTGTAGTGGTAGTGTGAGTAATCCTGAATAATACAAAATTTTTTAAGGTGGTGATAATGGCGTTCACAACCAATGGTTGTCAGTTAATATTGCCGAAAAAACAATAAAAAATAGGAAAAAACAACCACAGAAACTAATAATTACATGATGGTTAATGACAGGACAATTTTGTACTACTCATAGTCGGAACCAGTAGATACACAAAAGAAGGAATATAGTAAAGTACAAAAAAGGAAGCCAATGTCAATAATTTAGGTAGCTAAGTATGTTTGAAGAAGGAGTTCACTATAGAATACCAAATAAGAGAGAAATAAGAGAGCCTAAAATCATGTTATTAACAACAAAGCAAGTCATGGGTTTCGCGCTTAACATTGTCTCTGTCGCTTAGAACACGGGCCAAGTATGGTATAGTTGAGTTCCCCTACTTGGTTGTACGAGCCTAGATTATTTTATACTGATTTCTGGTTCCACTTGATGAGATACAAGGCGAGAGTTGGGAATAGAGGGGGTGTTAGGGGTCTGAGAGTATGGTTTCTGACCATTTTTCGCATCATCATCAACCCTCTCTATCTCTCCATATTCATTCCTCTTCTAAGGAGTCAGAGAGACTGAGTGTTCATCATCAAATTTCGAGGCTACTTCAACACGGTAGAGTGCACTGCATCAAACCTTTATCAACCTCAGTAAGCAGCTATATGATAATAACACATGTCAAGTGATCCATAAGGGGAAACTCATTGACGCCTTTGAAATGAAAACAGGGGTAAGACAAGCCTGCCCACTATCACCGATGACATTTCTGTTTATGATCAACAGGAATACACTGAACCAATAGGGAAACTCTGGAGGATGGTTCATAGCTAATATATCACATTAATTTGAAGACTTACAGCCAGTAGAGACAATAAGTTTAGGTGAACATAAGGAAAAGGGAGGTGGTGAAGATAATCAACCAACAGCTACAACAAGCACCAGTCAATATCAACGGGAAAAATTTGTAGGAGGTGACTTCAATCAATTGCCTAAGCACCATCGTTTCAAATACACCCAGTCGGCAGTGGTGAAAACCAGAATAGTACAGGCAAAACAGATCTTCAACGCCCTGAAATCAGTCTAAGAATCTCCTCCACTCAGCATGAGGAGCCAAAATTCGGATTTCAAACATCAATGTAAGATCAGTTTTTCTTTATAGGAGTGCATTTCAAAAAGGTTCTTGGAAACTCTTATCAGCATCTGCCTTCGCTAGCTCCATACAAACAGTTAGCAACAAGAAGTTCTGAGAACGAATGATCCAGGAATCTATTGCTCTACAAACATTTAAAAGAAATTAGAGGTGGATCGGACACACGCACAGAAGACGGTCGGATGATATGACGCGACAGGTCATCTTTATAGTGGAATTTGAATGAAAAACAACGAGTTGGGCGTTAATCCAGTGGAAAATCGTATGAGCAAGAGAGGATGGTTTATGGACAACCATGAAGTCAGCTTAAGCAGACTGTAGAGAACAAGAGAGAGTGGGGATGTGCTGTTGAAGATCTGTGTCCCAGTTAGAATTCCAGGGTGATAATCATGATAATCATTGAATTTCTGAACATCATTCGTAGACTCTGAACCTGAAGTTGATGGTAATAAGCCATTTTCGTTGATATAAGAATAAAACTTGGGCACTGTGGTAGAGTGTAGTTCCATTATGGGTAAATTTTATTTTGATAGAGTCTCACAGTGTTATACAGTAATATTTACTGATGACGTTTCGAGCACAATTTATTGCTCATAATCATATCAAGTTGATATGATAATGGAAGCCATTTTCGAGTTTTATACCGTATTCCAACTAAGTTTAATGTTGTCTTTAACATTTTGTAGATGAGGCCCTTTGAACCCACCTGAGGAAGCTTAACTTGTGTACGTGTGTTCAGAAAAAGTCCGTACAGATGAATTCTATGGCTCTGTCATCACTAATATATTGTCAATTAATTAATTAGTTGATGCTCAGAAGAAGTAATTGAAGATGAATTAAGCATTGTATATGATACTTTGATCGAAAATAGCTATCCCGAAAAATTTATCAAGAAACACATGACAAAGAAAGCGGAAAAGGACTACTCACTGTCTGTAAACAAGAAGCCACTTCATATACAACCACAATTCAAGGACGATTTATCAAGTGAGATAATTACAAGGAAATTAAGAAAATCAGTTCAAAGAACTTTTAATTCTGGCGAACTAAACGTCTTATTCTCCACATTACCGATGGTGCTACCTCGACTGAAAGATGAAGTACCTAAACTAGCCACTTCTGATTGTATCTACCAATTCAACTGCGCTTGTGGTGGAGCGAGTTAAATAGACTGTTACTCTAGGAACTTGATTTTTCGTGCTCAATGGAGGACATCTCTCAGTACGGCTAAGCAAATGTGCAGTTAAAACCATTAACAGTTCGATATTAGACCATCTGGTTCAAACCGGTCAGAAAGCCAGCCAGCATTGAAGAATCCTTCTCTATAATCTACCGGGTGCCTAATAAATTGCCAAAATCGTCGAAGCACTGCATCCTCCAAAAGGCAGAGGCTATTGCAATTCGCCTCAAACAACCAGTGCTCTGTGTTCAAAAGAAGCAAGTCCAGCCACTATTACTGCCTTGGTTGGCCTTCAGTGGAGAGTATAAATTCACGAATTTGTAATATTGTCTTTCTTGATATTTCTGACATTCATTTTATTGTTATGTTGATGCTATTGAGCTGTAATCTATCAATATTATTGATTCGATGTCATTTAAACAACATTAATGTTGTTAACAGCACTAATTCATTCATTCATTCACTATAATGTATATAACTGTAGAGCCTGATGATGAAGTCATCGAAAAGAGTATTCTTCGTTCAGTATCCATTCTTTTGAAAAAAATTTAAGGGGCATTTTTAATCATTTCTTTCTTTTCCCCCCTAAAGCTCTTTACAAACTATTATTATTTTGAATATTATTAATTGTTGCATGAATTTTCTTCGTAATTTTCTCCGATATTCACTTTAATGTCATGTAATATGCATTTTATCACAAACATATGCTAAATGATCTGTAATGTTGATCTGGTTGTGTTCAGTGAACTAGCTGGTTGATTTAACTGCGAAGCTTTCGTTGTCTTCCCAGACGGCATGGTCATCACAGGTTTTAATATTAAGGGAACGTGTCTGAACTTCCCGCCAATGATAACCATTCTTCTGATTGGTTGTTAATTTAAATCTCTATTGATCAGTTTTACTGACTAAGACCTACAATAATATGGATGTATTTGTTAATAAATTATTCATCTGAGTACAAGGCTTCTAGAAACTCCCTGACTGCAATTTTGTGTTTCCTTTGTTTAAAAACTATACATGTTCCCAATCAAGTCGGTATCCATGATTGTCTACATGCATTGATATGATTGAGTACATATCACTTTATATTAAATCATGTTTCGAGTCGATTTTATCACGAAGGACAATGAAAGCATAGTAACTAAATCATCAACCAGCTCAAAGAACACAACCAAATCAAAATCATTCAACTGTGCTGCAAATCTTCCCTATTTTGATTGAACACTAGTAACTAGTGTGACGTGTCTAGTGCTTTTCCTGGTGTGGACTGGATTCTATCAGTCAGGTTTGCAATGTGGCCACCATTCTTGGCTGCTCGCCATCACTGTTCACATTGATTTGATGATATAAGATGATTCGAGGCAGTCGGCAGGTTCGAATCTCAGAAGAAACATGAGTTCCTTCAAGGCAGTTACAGATACGCGTTGCTGACGAGTGCCAACTAGCACGAAACCTAGGTGTAAGGCTCCCTGCCGAATGCCTCCAACCATCTTATATCATCAAATCAATGTGTACCATGATGGTGAGCTACCTAGAATGGTGGCCACATTGCAAACCTGACTGACTGATAGAATTCAGTCTGCACCAAAGAAAGGACTAGACACATCACACTAGTTACTAGTGTCCAATCAAAGTACCCACTACAGTCCTACAGGAGGTCAGTCACGGGCCTGAATAGCTCAGTGGTAACGCCTCTGACTGCAAGCAGCATTAGGTGACGCGGATTCGAATATGATGAGTGATGTGAGTTCCTTAAGCATTGAAGATTCGCCTTGCTGACGAGTGCCGATAGCCGCGAAACCTGAGTTCAAGGCTTCCTTCCGATTGCCTACAACAGTCTAATAATCAACGTTGTCATTAAGGCTTAATATTAAATTATCTTGTGTATATAATTGTACAATTATCTGAGGGAGACATCGGATAGAATATTCATTCCTCAGTCTTATTATTTTTGTTTTCATAATTTTTTTCTATTTTATGCAAAGTCACATACACAGACTTGCCATTCCCAGGCCATATTTTATATAATCACGTTAACTGTAGGCGAAAACGTTTTTCTGAGAATTAGACGTAGATTTCGTGACAGTCTAGATTTGGCAGAAGTTAGAATTGACTAGCCATTCGATTCTGTTTCATTGGCTTAATGATATACATTATATTATTAGATTTCCCTTGGGTTCCAAGTGGAACATACGGTTTCAACAACACATCTCCATTTTGTTCTTTTTTCTACCTTCCTGTTGAGATGGATCTATGGTTGCCCATAATCTCTCCTCCTGCACGTAGCCTTCGCATTGACAACCAACTTGTCGCTTCGCGTCGGGATGTCTGTTCAAGTGATGGCCTGACTAAAGCGCGATGTCATCCGACGGTTTCCTCAATGTCCGCCCGATCCATCGCCGTTTTCTCCCACAACACATTTGTTGAGTAATAGGCTCTTAGTTAGATTGGTTCCCACAGTTTCTTGTTACTAATTCTTTCTGACTGGCCGTTTGATCTTCAGTATGGAGCCAGCGAAGGGGGCAGCTGTTGATGAAAATCTGCAACCTGTTGGAAATGCTTTTCGTGACGGACGCGCAGTGCAAGTTTCTGACCCGTATAGAAGGACTGAATTCACATTGGTGGTGAAAATACGAATGTGTAGAAGATTTCCAAACTGGAATGGTATACATGCTCACTTTGTAAAATGAAGTTCCAGCATGTAATGGAATAATTGTTTGGAAAATCTGTCTTTAAAGATCTAATTATAGTGCCTATGCCTAGTCGGGTGTCTCAGTTAACTTTGGAATTATCGTCCTTTTTTCTCCAATTTTTGTCTATCAATATCGTCATATTCGCATATTATCCTGATCTCAGAGTGTCTGTGGGAACCGTTGGTTGCGTGATTCTTGCTGACAGAGTTTTTGATCCGTCAATTGTTGGGTATAGTCTACTTAATTCTTAGATACCTTTTATCGTCAAATTAAAGTAACCTAATTTTGTCTCAGAGTATTCGTTTTGTACTTCGAATGTTGCATTGCCTGTAAAGCTGCTTAACAGCACTGTTGAGGTAATTTTGAGTTTTTGATTAATTTCTTTTGTTGAATAGAACCATACAAAAACCCTTTCGAAGAATAATCATCCTTTTGCTGTCTTTGGGACATTTTATGAGTTTGTGTACCTTACGAAGGTTTTGTCAGCTGTGCAGTAGGACGCAAAGATCAGTTTTCGTTGTTCGAACCATAAGAAGTTGGTTTTAGTCGTAATAATGCATTCGGTCTCTGTTGGCATCATGGATGTTTAAAACAGAAGATGAGAAGAGACCTAGTAACGGAATATTTACTTTGAATCTGATATCTCTGTTTAGGAAAATTACGTATAATATATGTGAAATGCGTCAGTTGCACAGATCTTCCGTTTTCTGCCACTTCTGTCCTTCGTATTGTGTTTCTTTGTCTCCTTTCCGTGTCTTCCATGTTTAGCTGCAGTACTGACAAATGTTCCCTTCTTTACGTGTGCTGATGAAATTTTCTTTATATACTACTGATAATTCTTGTTAGTAGCGCACACCCCAATCTATCGATGAATGTACCGAACAAGGAAGAAAAAGCTGTCCAGTATTCCTGGCTGGTTTGCACTGGTTGTCAAACTGAAGTCATTTGATGGCCAATCAACACTCAAAAATAAATAATTACTAATTGCATAACTGCTGAAAGACGATAGGTACAGAACAAATATTCTGTCCTGCTTGCGACAGTCTTCAAACCTGGACACATAAGACATCAAATGCAGTTAGACACAGGACTGTCAATCAACGACGTGAGTATGCTGATATTTAAAAACTGGGCTGAACTCTGTCATCTTACCGCTTGCAAGTAAATTCCTGGAAATTCTGACTCTGAACTATGAATATGCCTATAGGTATGTATTAAAATCCCTAAAGGTTTTAAACAGACACATTGCTTCGCAACTACTTCAAATTTCTGAACTTGTTGTTATGCAAAGAGTAAAGCTTAAGGTGTGTTTTAAAAGTGTCAATTACTGACCTACTGTCACCTTCGTTAAGTCAATCAGAAGATCCCTACTGGAATACATCATGGATACGAAGCACAAGATGGATGAAAATTCCGCTCTTACAATTCTATACTAGGTGCCATCTCAATTCCGTAAGATTTTTTCGCCCCTATATTACTAAGCATAGATGAGGTGGTCACCATTCAGGTCTTTCAGTCAAATCTTTGTGTCCAGAAGTAGTTTGTTTAATCTCTCTCCCTCCTATGGCTTTCAAGCATGACTTAGGATAATTATTGCAGTTATTATTATTTCTAGGGAGACGTCAAGATCAATGGGATCCACCCGGTCTGTCTTAAGACAAATACTCACCGAAGACATCAACTGGTGCCATCCGTGTTAAAATCACAAAGTTACAGAAAGTAGGATTCATTGGCTGGCTAATGTGTGTGGTCCTAGTGCCTAACTAGTCTACAACCCTTCCTCACAACCGGAAGTGCTTGTGTTCGAGCCTTGGTTGGTGCACACTCATTTTTAAAGAATCCATGGCTAAGACGGGAATAGTTTCAGAATATTCTCCTAATTTCAATAACAATTCATTGTAACAGTTTTCTGCATAGTTTGTATATCACCTTCATTTTTGGTATATTATTCTACCGTTACTAAAAGAACATGCTGTTTAGTTACAGTACATTTTAATTACGTCAAACTGACTAATTATTTGGCTTATTGTCTCATGTTGTATGCAGCTGACGTAAGCCCTCTCTGTGACGTAAAACTAATCCATTTTATCCTCCATAAAACGCTGTTCTTATTATGTCATTCAAAATGGTCATGAGAAATATTTGCACGCAATATTCATGTTATAATGTGAAAATAACATGGTCACTCCATGTGACGGCATTCATTTATGAACAGGTTCACTGGTTGGAGCAAAGTTAAATAATTTGGGAAATAGAATAACTTAAAATAGGCCCTGAATTTAAAGATCAGAGAGAGCCATTTGAAGAACTTTCTTTGCTGCATTTCTACGCCTCATCTTCTCTTGTTCCTTTTCACCAAAACTTTAAAGATGAGATCACGCTGTTGGTAACTTCACTGTGAACTTACCAATTGACCTGCCCCTGTGGAGTGAGGCAGTTACATAGGCCGTACAATTAGGCGTGTTTCTCGTCAGATTCCCGAACATCACCCTGGGTGGTTAAGTAAAGGACAGACAAAATCTATTCATATAGCGCTATTCTATCTCATCTTGTGGATACAGAACACAAGACTGATGTTAACGAGGCGACTTTCAAAGTCATTTGCCGCATACCAACAAATCTTAATTTCGCCTTAGGAGTTCGAATACTAAATACTGCTGAGGCTGTTGGGACCCATATTAATAAGCCTAATTTATGCATCCAAAAGAAGTTAGTTCAGACATTATCCCTACCTTGGCCATCCAGGTTTGAATGATCATGAATTTTCGTGGAATTTCCCTAATTTTAGTTGATATTCTATTCGCTATTATATCTTTATTATTATTATAATTTAAGCGTCTTTAATGAACTGTTATTGCATTGATCTTACGTTGCGTACCGATAGTATTTAAAAAACACTAATATTGGTACTGACTATTATTCTAGAATATTCTATGTATATAAACATGCATATATAATTGTAGAGCCAGAAGAGGAGGAAATTATTGAAAAGGATATTCTTTGCTCAGTGTGTTTTATAGATATCTGAATGAATATTTTCGTGGTATAGATAAGTTTAAATTGTGATTGTGATATACGGTGGACATTTTGCTTCTATCCGTACATCGATTTGTTAATAAATGATTTTGTCAAGAAATTCCCCTTTGTTCTCTTGTTATACATAGTGTCGCTGCCTTCGGACGATAAATA